GATAGATAGATAGATAGATAGATAGATAGATATGTATTAGCCTGGACAAGATAGATAGATAGATAGATAGATAGATAGATAGATAGATAGATAGATAATGTATTAGCCTGGACAAGATAGATAGATAGATAGATAGATAGATAGATAGATAGATAGATAGATAGATAGATATGTATTAGCCTGGACAAGATAGATAGATAGATAGATAGATAGATAGATAGATAGATAGATAGCATGAGATGCAACTTGAAAAATGAAATAACACATTTATTTGTAAAATTTCAGATATAAATAAGATATATCTGTAAAGACAATAGAAATAAAAAGAAAAGAGAAAAAGAAAATATTATTATATATATATATATATATATATATATATATATATATATATATATATATATATATATATATGATGGACCCTCCCGACGTTTTCGACGTATGAGTGTCTTTCAGTTCAGTTTTGAATCCTGTACTTGTCCCCGTCCTCTTGACTCTCTCGCCAGTCGACTTGATGCTCAGGTGGAATAGCAAAGAACACAGAACTGAACTGCAGACTATCCAGCCAAAAGATTTGTTTAGATTGGTGAAGGCTTGTGTAGAACCAGCCACACTTATTGGAAGGGCTGATAACAAGGATTTGGTGCAAATATTTGCCACGAACACAATGAACAACACCACTCAGCTTTTATTATCACGGAGTTATAACTCCCCTGTACTACTAGCGCCTCTCGATGGTAATTTCACGCTGAAGCGTGTTACAGCGTTTGACGCGTGGAAATTTAGGGGATAGATGAAGATCAGTTTGACCGTCCATCTTAATAATAATAATAATAATAATTATATATATATATATATATATATATATATATATATATATATATATATATATATATATATACTTTTGAATTTGTAGATCAGATGAATTGTATCGTGATTACGATTCCAATGTAATAAAAGTATAACCATATTCGTGTTTGAGCCTTATATATATATATATATATATATATATATATATATATATATATATATATATTGTGGCCTGATGATTGCGTTTATCATGAAAAATCTGTTGCCTCTGAGTTTTGACTTCAATGTTCATTTATATATATATATATATATATATATATATAGGAAGAAATATAGTCTTAAGATGTGCTATATTTGTGGGATAAACTGCTCAATATCAGAGATAGAGCGTGTGTAAATATAAAAGTGAACATAAAAGTCAACACTTAGAGGCGACAGTCTGTTTCATGCCAGATGCAATCGTCAGGCCACGAGTGCTGTTATTTTTCTCGGCTATTTATATATACAGGTATGAATAAATAAATAAATATATAAGATAAGAAATGAAAATAAAAAAATAAAAATAAAAAAAGCAAAATAATTTAACCCAAATAAATAAATGAACAAATAAAAGATTTCCGGTAAAATACCCGCCAAAATAGAATGCCCATAATGCACCAATGACCCGTATATATAAATGGCTGAGAAAAATAACAGCACTCGTGGCTTGACGATTGCAACTAGCATGAAACAGACTGTCGCCTCTAAGTGTTGACATCTACGTTCACCTTTATATATATATATATATATATATATATATATATATATTCATTAAGAGTTTACAGAAAATCTACGAACAAGAATGACCTCATAAACTATTATTCTCACCACTGCAGCAGAATAAAACCTGGAATAATTATAGGATTTTCTTTAAGAGAACTAAGAAAGTGCAGCCACCTATATTTATCTGAAGATGAAATATACATACAAACACCTTTAAAGAACTCCAATATCCCTACTGTTTCATCCTCTATATTAAGAAATACAAAAACTACGAAAAAGATCGTGACATTAACATAACAATCTCATGACAATGACAATAAACTAAATAAAAGCAGGTATATAATATTACCTGCAACTCCTTAACATTTATTTTCCTTATTTGCGTTATTCGAACTGTTATCCTCATCTTCATTATTATATTCACAACGTTTCGGTCGTTGTACGCGCTTGCCTTCTTCAGGCGATTGGAATTTCGAACCCAAACATATATTTTGTCCCTCGAGGGTAGATTGTTCTAGGTCCACGTGCCATGCCTCTTGCGGATGTCTCAGTTATTTCTATTTAACTCAACTCATAGAGTTGTTTTTTTGTTCACCATTGTTGTAGCCTGGTCTTGAACTCCCAGTTGATAAAGACGTTGGTTAGATCCAGTGACTAGACCCAACGTGTTGTGAAGAAAATATGATTCATTTTCGTTATTTGATTTATGTTAAGGGGTCCACCCCTTTTTATACAAGTGAATTCGCCCATGTTTACTTGTACTGCTGCCGGTGAATACCCGGGAGTGATACATTGAGATTGTGAGGTAACCGCTTTGTAGGAGTCACAGTTGCGAGCACGTAGACTCAGAAGGAAGTCATACTTTGATACTGAATTTCCCAGACTGTATATATATTATTATTGCTACTAACCGCATTTCTGGATCTACTAACTGTATTACCAATTGTATTATTGTGTCAATACATTTATTTGCTATATTTCATTCCTGCAATTGTCATTCATTTGAGACCGGATTTCATCCCAGAATTCACAACAATATAATATTACTTCCAGAAAAGAAAAATCTATGTAAAAAAAAAAAAAGAAATATAATTTTGCCATTCCTGGAGATGGTTCCATAAGTAAGAGCACTGTTTATAAGTTGTTCACTAAGTTCAGAAGTGGAAATTTTGACCTGGACCACCAAGAATGTTCTGGTAGACATGCGGTCTTTGATGATGGCCAAATGGAAAAGCTGATTAGAATTTTCTAGATCACATGAAATACTCATATGAGCATTCTAAGGCAATTGAAAACACTTGGATATGTCAATAGCTACGATATTTAGGTGCGATATCAGTTGTCATGCAATATTTTATAAAAGGAAACACCAGACAAATGTTAGAGAAATTGTTTTGACAGTTATTGTCTTGACAAAAAAGGTTAGCTGAGTGAAGTGGACCTCACAAGAACATGTAAAACGACCCTGATAAAAAGGGTTAGCTGTGTGGATCGAAATTGAAGCATGGCGTTTTGGGAACGAAAGCTAACAGAACAGAAATTAGCTGTCTCTGAGACGGTGGATCCTAGAAGCCCGAAAGACAGATGCCGCTCGATCACCTCGCGAAAAGGAAGGAAGACGCCCGTTAGTCCGTTTTTCCCCTCAACTCGCCTCACTCTGCCTCGTTCGCCTACAGCAGAAGGTTACAACAGAATAAAATTTGCCGACTGCTAAAATTTCAACTATTGGTTTCATTTCGTTGGAAACGATCTGGCCAAAGAGTTATTTTCCAGTCACAAGTGTTCGAGTGGAAGAAGCTGCACTCTGAGAACGAACCTGGTGTCTAGTCTGAAACGTTACACTCACGATTAAACTAAAACAACTCAAAGCATTAATGAGCAGCATTTCCAGCCATGATCTTCTGTTAAAGCGCAACAAAAACGATCCATTTTTGAAAAGAACGGTCAGAAGCACTGAAAAATGGGTTGTTTACAACAATGTGGATCGGGGAATGTTCTGGGAGAAGACGAAAAGTCGGCCTGAGTCGAGTGTTATATTCTCCAGGCGCTTTTTCTCATTAAAAGACACAGAAATTTTTACCTATCTCTTTCTGATTCCTTTGTAGTTGCTCTTTTCTTTCAACCTTCCTATTCGCTCACATGTTATGTCCAGGGTATTTTGTCTTCAGCATTTACCAGTACAACCACATCGCTGTCGCTTCAAGTCTCTTCTCTATCTGTTTGTTGATTGTCCAACATTTATTGCCATGTTCTAATACATAGAATCTGTGGCGGACTTCACCACATTAATTTAACTTTAGATACGAAACAAAACTGAATTGAGAAAGGATAAGCAAAAAACATCATTACACATAAAATATGTATTTAACAAGATGTACAATATCAAACAATGATGTAAAAGAAGGCATGCATTGAGTAGGAAAAAAGGTTGAATAAAACAAGAGTTGTCTCTCTTTAACTATTATTTTTGTATTTCAAAGTTCACTGAAAGAAAGTTTATGATAGTTCCTTGTAATAAATGTTCTCAGCAGATTTACTGTGTAAGAAAAGGTTCTGTGAGTGTAAGGAATGTTCAGCATGTGACTAGTCGTGTGAGTGAGAAGGTTGGCGCATGGTTTCAACTGTCGTGGATTCGTTTGGCCGCTGAATTCTCACTAATTAACTAAGAATATTTCTTGCTTATATATATGACCATAGGCTCCGAATCGCTGCACAGGAAGAGTTATGCTTCACGTGCAGACGATCTGATTGGTTGGCATTGACCAATCAGCGAGCGAGTTTTGGGGAGACTCAAGAAAGCTTCTGGGATCCGTTTCTCCTAAAATTGCACCAAACTGACAACATGAAAATAGAGCGATTACAAAATTGTCGCATTGCTGCGATTTGTAAATTGTCTGTAATAACGTAGTGGTGATTAATTAACCGATGAATGCTTGGCGAAGTATGTGATTTGTATGTATGTAGGTATGTATGTATGTGTGTGTGTGTGCGATATAGATTGTCACAAATCTAACGTTCTAATACATAGAATCACAGCGATCTTTTTTCTTTGATTTCTTACAAGGACGTCAAAATCAAGTAGTTCCAGAATTTTAATTATCAAGGTAGTTCCATTAGAAATAAAGAAAAACTGTTCAGCTGCTATGTAATACCAATCTTTCTATATGGTCACAGCGTACAGGTTTTGTTGAAGTTGCAGATCAAGCCAGATGATGTGGTCTCTCCCAGAAACATAACTAAAGCCCCTTCAGTATAGTTACCGTATAAGCCACCGATAGGCTCTGCGGGTGTAGAATAAATATAGATGTGCCTCAGCAGCTGTATGCGATAGGTATTTGTGAGTAGCCTCATCAGACAGGTAATTTCTCCTAATTCGGGGGACACGGGTCTGAACACGACCAGAGAGCGCACTTCTTGATTAAGTATCTCGAATGCGCAGTCCAGTATGCGTAACTGTAGTTGTAAAGAAAGACACACAGACAAACACCCCTCTCTCTCTCTCTCTCTCTATATATATATATATATATATATATATATATATTTATACACGTTTCATTAAATAATATAGACAAGTGTTGTCTATTTGTTTTATGTAAATTTTTTTCGTAACATCTGATAAGTTTAATAACATTATCGTTAAACGAAGAAAGAAATTCACAATATTGATCCATATTTTTTAATATAATCTAAGCTTTCGGCTTACTTAAGCCATTATCAAAGATATAAATCACAAAACATATTAAACAATATACGGACACGACAGTGATGATAGTCTGTCATTGTTTACATAGTTGATCACTAAGCAACGATAAACACGCGCATATAAGACGCTAGAAGCGAAAATCGCACCGCATCTCATGACGTCACACATGACCACACGAGAGTGAATTGGAGAATGAAGTATGGAAAGCCGTTGGTATAAACCAATGGCTTCATCTATGTAAACAATGACAGACTATCATCACTGTCGTGTCCGTATATTGTTTAATATGTTTGTAATTTACATCTTTGATAATGGCTTAAGTAAGCCGAAAGTTAAGATTATATTAAAAAATATGGATCAATATTGTGAATTTCTTTCTTCGTTTAACGATAATATTATTAAACTTATCAGATGTTACGAAAAAAATTTACATAAAATAAATAGACAACACTTGTCTATATTATTTAATGAAACGTGTATAAATGAAAAGATGCTGCCTAAATACACACAATATATATATATATATATATATATATATATAACTATTCTTTCTTTATTATTATATGTTCTTTTTTATTCTTTATATATATATATATATGTGTGTGTGTGTGTGTGTGTGTGTGTATGGATAGAACCGTTGGATTTATAATTCAAAGTTCTTTAGTATTTTTGTTTTTATTTAAAAAATACACAAATAGAGCCGAAATTATAATTTTTTTTTAAATATGATTCCATCGTTACATATGAGTTCTCATGTTTCAAAAACAGAAGCTAGAAACTTCAATTCATTTATAGAAATTGTATCAACCTATTAGTTACCTCATAGTTGTCAGTGAAAATGAATACCCTACCGCTCCTTATTAAAATGATTAGTTTTCTCCATATCCATAGAAATTAATATTACGGATCTATATGCTCATAAAGCTCCGTAAATTTCAAAATTTGTTATTCCAAAATTTGCTTGAGGATGAAACAGAACTAGGTACTTTAATTTAATTTTAATTTCTATAATTGAATTGAAGTTTTTAGCTTCTGTTTTGAGAGAAATCTTATGTAGCGATGGAATACATTTTTTAAAATAATTATATATATATATATATATATATATATATATATATATATATATATATATATATATATATATTATAGAGGTGCCTCCCAAAAATAGCGATACCTAAGGTTTAAAATTAATGTTTAAAAATAAGTGAACAATCTTGAAGCTTTTATTTTAGTTTTAATTTCAAACTAATATATTAATTTTAAGGAAAATACTATGCTTTATTTTAAAAAGTATTTAAATTAAATGGAATCATTTTTTAAATCGCGAAAAATGGTTTATTTTGGCCATATTTACAAATCACTCTGCATAACATAATTCTCCTTATTGCAAAAGTCGTTCAGCAATAAAATATACTTGTCTGAAAGTTTATTTGAGAAAGATTAACTGATTTCAATTATAATTAATCTGATTTGAAACAATTAATACTTATGAGGTATTGACAACCGTCTCAATAATTCTATCTCATAAAAATATGGAAATCTTTCTACGAGGGTCATATCTGAAAAAATTACTTGAGGAATATATCGTGAGCGCCTTTCAATATAATTTTTTAACTACCCAGTAATCGTAAAAATTTAGGGAAATATTCTAAGAAATCTAATGTTTTATTGAATTTAAGCTACTTTGGCTTTAAATTTAGTGTACTTACATTTTTTTTCTGATAATGTCGTGTATGGACGTCCGTATTTACAGAAATTGGCACGCAAATATTTTTTTTTAATTACTGGCGTCGTTGAACTGTAGTAAGCTTTTCTATTTATGTTTAATAAATATAGTTTTTACTTAATAACAACATCAGCTAACCACTATAAATTAATATAGCATTTTAAAAGATTTAAAACTTTATAAATTATTCCAAATAAATATAAAAAGAATGAAAACAATTCTTGTAGAAAATATATATATATATATATATATATGTATATAGAGAGAGAGAGAGAGAGAGAGAGAGAAAGATAGGGAGAGTGAGAGTGAGAGAGAGAGAGTGATGTAAAAAATATATTTTAACCAACCTTTTGTAAAATAATTTAATTAATTTGTGAATAAATCTGGAAAGTTTCAATGAATCCGACAATTATTTGATTTTTGCAAACATTTCCAAATCAGCGTGTTTTTCGTCACATAAAAGAAGCTAAAATTTCCCATACTAATTTTTGGTTTCCCTGCAGACGAAAGAAAAATATGATTTTCAACCAAATTTTTGAAGATTTTAAAAAAGGATAAAAAAAATACAATTTCATAATGAAAAAATCGGTTGGTGTTTCCTTTTAATAATATCATAATAATTGTTGTGGTAGGATCCACCTAATTTGCATAGTGGAGTACCGACCAGATAAATATGGTTGGCACCGGGAAGAGAGGGAGGAATCAAGAGATTCAACCAGAGACTCTGCCCGACTGCGACTCAGTCAACACATTCTCCAGGAACGGTCTTCGCAGGAATATACAAAAGACTATATGTAAATATTGTGTACACTTTCTTGTTTCAATACATTTTGTTCTAAGTACATTTTGTGTTGTATTATTATTCCATGCATTAGTCAAGTTAAGTTAGTCAAGTTTCAACAATAATTGTAACGATTAAACTTTGATTTTATTAATTTGGGAGCATTTTTTCATCATGGCATGCTCATTTTTTAGCGAATCTTTGGAGGTACATAAATTTATGTAACTTCATACTCATGAAATTTATACAAATTATTATTTATACGAATTGTATGAAATATGGTTTATTTATTATGACTGTTTGAGTAATATATATGGTTCGTAAAATGTTTGTGAACAAGTAATCTCTGGTTGTGATCTACAAATATATGTTTAGTTTGGCGTTTCAATAATCTGATGGTCTTTTACTTTTATTTTGTTGATATGTGCGTCTGTTTATTTACCGTTGGCTTCGACTTCCACTTTCCAGACAATTTATCGCCTTCCCAAGCGACTGGTTTGTTTTCTTGAGTTGTTGCTTAAGTTTCATTGTGATGATTTTCATTTTTTTTTTTTTTTTTTTTTTTTTTTTGGCTGGTCGACGGAGTTATGAATATTTTTTTTCATTCGTTGAATACTATTTCTTTCTTTCTTTTTTTTTCATTTCTTTTGTTCTTTCCTTGTGCCAACTTATTTTCCAGAATTTTCATATTTTTCGAGGGTGGGGGTGGCTGTTGATTGTTCATTTTTAGGCGAATTAAAATTTGGCTGACCGACTTCAAATAGAGGTATAAGAAAAAAAAATTAAGGAAATGAGAAAGGCAGAAACAGAAATGTGGGGCAGAAAGAAATAAAGGCAGCGTTCATGCAAGCATATATACATATATATATATATATATATATATATATATATATATATATATATATATATATATATATATCATCTGGTGTCTTATCAAGTGACGTTGTTGACATTCAACACCATCACTTGATAAGACATAAGCATTGAAACAAAATGGCTATTTTTGTAGTAATTTTATGCTATATTTATGTTATAATTTTCGAATAAATTATATTTGCTCTACACTGTATTGAGCACTCTTTTAAGAATAGTATTTTTGGGTAGTGGAATTTATTCCGTATACACCAATCATATACTTGTGTGTATATATATATATATATATATATATATATATATATATATATTAATTGATTTAAAAATGATTTTTTTTTGCTACACAGTTCTAACCACGTTTCAAAAATGGAAGCTAAAAGCCCCGAATTTAATTTTGTGATTAAATTAAAGACATTCGCTTGAGGATGAAATGAAACTAATGTCTTTAATTTAAACACAAAATTGAATTCGGGGCTTTTAGCTTCCATTTTTGAAACATGGTTAGAACTGTGTAGCGAAAAAAAACATATTTTACATCAATTAATTTATAATATTAATGCTCTGTAAATTTATATTGAGCACTATTTTGTAAAAATAAAAATATCTATAAGAACACCCGATTTATATATTTTCCTGTTTTTTTTTTTATTTACACACACACACACACACACACACACACACACACACACACACATATATATATATATGATAGACTTTGAAGTCAACATCCAGCGGCGAAAGTCTGTTTCATGCTTAAACGCAACCTCCAGACCTGAAGATTGCGTTCAAGCATGAAACAGGCTGCCAATGCCATTTGTTGACTTTAACGACCACTTTTATATTTATACACGGTCTATCCCCAATACTGAGCACTTTAATCCTCAGATGCAGCATAACTTAAAGCCATATTTTTGTCATATATATATATATATATATATATATATATATATATATATCAAATATGTGGGACTGTTCAATTTATATTACAACGAATCATTCATACAAAAACTAAATTAGTAAAGTTAATGATATAAAATGGCGAAATCGCTAATAAAATGCTAAAGGTGCATTAACCTACCAATCACTCGATGAATCTTATGATCCTTTTTTTTAATTATAAGCTGTATAAGTTTTTTTTTAAATAAGGAAGTACTTTCGACTGTACATTCAGTCATCTTCAGGCGTAGAAATTATTTTGTTTTTGCTAAAATTCAGGTTGCATCCGAGACAAAAAAATGTAATGCGAATCGAAATATGTTTTTTCTTTTTAAATGTGTTTTTGATAACGGATACAAACTTTTCGAGCGTGCAGTCGCAACTCTAAGGTTCAATTTTTTCTAAATTTAAGTGAGTGTCTTTTTTACTAATATGGCAATTTGAAAATTTCTTGTAGGAGTTTATCAGTCAATGTGGCATGAACTAAATAGTTCAATAAGTAATGTCTCAGTTGTTATCCCGAAACTTGCATGTCGGATCAGTTCTTTTAAATCAAATATGTGGTGCAGTTCAATTTATATTACAATGAATCATTTATACAAAAAGTAGATTAGTAAAGTTAATGATATATTAGCCTACTAAAAAGTTTGTATCCGTTATCAATAACACATTTATAAAATATTTCGATTCACATTATATTTTTTCGTCACGGATGCACCCTGAATTTTACCAAAAACAAAATAATTTCCATGCCTGAAGATGATTGAATGTACAGTCGAAAGTACTTGCATATTTAAGAAAGACCTTATACAGCTTATGATTTAAAAAAAAAAAAAAAAAAAAAAATAACAGGCATCAAGTGATTAGTAGGTAAATGAATCTTTAAAACTTTGTTAGCGAAGGATTTCGCCATTTTATATCATTAACTTTTACTAATTTAGTTTTGTATAAATGATTCATATATATATATATATATATATATATATATATATATATATATATATATATGAACTCACTTTTCTGGAAATAATATTACATGAAATAATTAAAATGCATCATATTTTCCCCCATTTTCACTATTGACGCAAGAACAATTCATATTTGTAATACATATACGAATTATATAAAAAGGCGCGTTGAAATGTCCCGTTTCAGAATATATCATAAATTTCAGCCACACGTGAAAGGAAAACACGTGTTCAAATGGCGTTTTATTGAAAAACTATGAACTTTTGATCCAAGCCAATAATTCTCTTTTAATTTTCTGTCTTTTTTTCTCATTTTGTAATCTATATTTCTTTCTTTTTACTTTAGCAATACCTCATATTTTTTGTGTACCACGTGATTTATAATTTTCTTAGCTATCTATATTCGTTAAACTTTCTTCTTCTTCTTCTTCTTCTTCTTCTTCTTCTTCTTCTTCTTCGGATTATTATTATTATGCTTTTTCTTCTTTCTTTCTTTCTTTCTTTCTTTCTTTCTTTTCTTTCTTTCTTTCTTGTTTGGTTCTATTGCAGTACCCTATATTTCTTCTTGTGTATTACTTAATTTATTTTCTTAGCTGTCTTTACTCGTTAAGGTTTCTTCTTCTTCTCCTTCTTCTTCTTCTTCTTCTTCTTCTTCTTCTTTTTCGGATTATTATTATTATGCTTTTTCTTTCTTTCTTTCTTTCTTTCTTTCTTTCTTTGTGCCTATTTATTTTGTTACATTTGCTTATATTTATATTATTTTATAATTCGCTGTGCTGTCTGTGCTATCTAAATCTTCTCCTCTTTCTTCTTCTTCTTCTTCTTCTTCTTCTTTTACGGGTGATTATTATTATTATGCTTTTTCTTTCTTTCTTTCTTTCTTTCTTTCTTTCTTTCTTTCTTTCTTTCTTTCTTTTTTATTCGGTACTGTTCACTTTTTCTCATTCTCTTTCCCGTCCTCCATTTGCCTTTTCTTTTTCATTTCCAATTTTTTAAAAAACTTTTTCATTTTTTAATATTTTTGTTCCCTTCCGTATTTCTTTTTTTTTTTTTTTTTCATCTTTACAATACACTGCCTTTCTGTCTAACTTTCTCTCTCTTCCTTTTGGCCGAACAAACGAAGGAAAGGCGCCATGTCACTCGCTGAGAATGCATGCGCCTGGTCTGTTTTCCTCTTCAAAAACTAACCCAAATATGACAAGTTTACTAACAGAAAAAAACAAAAAACACTCCATACGTATTAATCTCTGAAATCGTTCTGCAACAGGCCTGGAGAATATAACCCTCGCAGAATAGAAGAGAAGCACGGGTCAAACAGCGTCTAATCTTAACAAGTTTCAGTGAATGGAATGCAAGACAGGGACAAAGATGGATGGTAAAAGGACAAACGTTACTGAGCAAGAAAAGAAGGGAAACTGTGGAAAGTCATGATGACCTCTGTCCTGAAAGGATATGGCACACAGAAGAAATGGAAGAACAATGACAAGGATAGATGGTCAAGGATCAAAAGTTACTTAGAGCTAAAAAGCCGAGAAGTCATGGTGAGCCATGATCGCCCACATCCTGAAAGGACATGACATATAAAAGAAGAAAATTGCAAATATCCATTGGAAATACACAAATAACACCAATCAAAAGAAGAAAAAAACAACTTATTCGTGTATTTGGAGAATGAATGGCTGTCTTCCTGCATTAACTTCGAATAAATGGTTATTTATAATATTCATAATCGATCCATATAGAGGAACAGCACTCATCTGAATTCAATGTCTGATTTTGTACAATTCCTTTTCAGTTTCACCAGATGCACAACATCAATTTTTTCGGACTCACACCGACTTTTCGTCCTCTCCCATGACATTTCCCGATCCACATTGTTGTAAACAACCCATTTTTCATCGCTTGTGATCGTTCTTTTCAGAAATGGATCGTTCGTTTATGTTGCGCTTTAACAGAAGATCATGGCTGGAAATGCTGCTCATTAATTCTTTTTGTTGTTTTAGTTTAATCGTGAGTGTAACGTTTCAGACTAGACACCAGGTTCATTCTCAGAGTGCGCTTGTGACTGGAAAATAACTCTTTGGTCAGATGGTTTCCAACGAAATAAAACCAAAAGACGCAATTTTAGCAGTCGGCAAATTTTATTCTGTTGTAACCTTCTGCTGTAGGCGAACGAGGCAGAGTGAGGCGAGTTGAGCGGAGGAACGGACTAACGAGCGTCTCCCTTCCTTTTCGCGAGGTGATCGAACTGTATCTGTCTTCCCGGCTTATAGGATCCACTCTCAGAGATAGCCAATTTCTGTTCTGTTAGCGTTCGTTACCAAAAAGCCATGCTTCAATTTCGTTCCACACAGCTAACCCTTTTTATCAGGGTCGTTTTACATGTTCTTGTGAGGTCCACTTCACTCAGCTGACCTTTTTTGTCAAGACAATAACTGTCAAAACAATTTCCTTAACATCTATCTGATGTTTCCTTTTACAAAATATTGACTGACAACAGATATCGCACCTAAAAATCGTAGCAATTAATATATCCAAGTGTTTTCAATCGCCTTACAATGCTCATATGAGTATTTCATGATATCTAGAAAATTCTAATCAGCTTCTCCATTTGGCCATCATCAAAGACCGCATGTCATACCAGAACATTCTTGGTGGTCCAGGACAAAATTTCCACTTAGTGAACAACTTATAAACAGTGATCTTACGTATGGAACCATCTCCAGGAATAGCATATATCACTGATTTTTTAAAATTTTTTTTTCACAGAGAAGAAATATCATTACCCCAAATGACTAAAATGCATAATATTTCCATCTATTTTCACTTTTAACGTAAGAACAATTCAAATTCCCAAACCACATACGAATTATATAAAAAGGCGCGTTGAAATGATACGTTTCAGAATATATCATAAATTTCAGCCACGCGTGAAAAGAAAACACGTGTTCAAATGACGTTTTATTGAAAAACTATGAACTTTTGATTCAAGCCAATAATTCTCTTTTAATTTTCTGTCTTTTTCTTTTTCTTCTCATTTTGTAATGTATATTTCTTTCTTTTTACTTTAGCAATACCTCGTATTTTTTGTGTACCACGTAATTTATTATTTTCTTAGCTATCTATATTCGTTAAATTTTCTACCCGTTTCAGAATATATCATAAATTTTTCGTATGCAAAAATATATACGAATAAAGTAAAAAAAGGCGTTCATTCGCGGCTTCTTCTTCTTCTTCTTCTTCTTCTTCTTCTTCTTCTTCTTCTTCTTCTTCTTCTTCCTCTGATTATTATTATGCTTCTTCTTCTTTCTTTCTTTCTTTCTTTCTTTCTTTTTTGTTTGCTACTGTTCACTTTTTCTCATTCTCTTTCTCTTTCCCGTCCTCGATTTGCCTTTTCTTTTTCTTTTCCAATTTTTTAAAAAACTTTTTCAATTTTTAATACTTTTGTTCCATTCCGGGTTTTTTTTTTTCATCTTTACAATACACTGTCTTTCTGTCTAACTTTCTCTCTCTTCCTATTGGCCGAACAAACGAAAAAAAAGGCGCCATTTCACTCGCTGAGAACGCATGCGCCTGGTCTGTTTTCCACTTCAAAAACTAACCCAAATATGACAAGTTTACTAAGAGAAAAAAAATCTCCATAAGTATTCGTCTCTAAAATCGTTCTGCAACAGTTTGTTATAAATAAACAGTGGCTTTATTTTCTTTCTCTCCTATCTGCACCCAGCGAAAAGTAAATAAAAATAAATCCATCGACAAACTGTACGCTTAAATTACTTTTGATTTTTTTTGTAATTTATTCATATTTACTTCCTCTTTCCACTTACCAAACTTTTTTTTTTGCTACTTGTTACTCCGTTCGTTCATCTCATTTCAGTATTTTATCATCACCCTTGTCCTTCTAAAATCTCACCGGTGGTGCAATAAATAACGACTTTAAATGAGAAATCAGAGTGCCAGGTTCGAATACCAGTCGGATTCCTTGCATTTACTTACGCACAAATACCCTTAATAAAGATAAGTATCCAACGCTCCCCACAGCTATGGGTTAAATAATCTGCTTTATAGCTGGAAAATTATTGTTATTCAGTTATATATATATATATATATATTGATATATATATATATATATTGATGTATATATATATATACATATATATATATATATATATATATATATATATATATATATATATATATATATATATATATATGATGCATATTTTATTGATGTTGATGTATATTTTATTGATGTTATATATATATATATATATATATATATATATATATATGTGTGTGTGTGTGTATAATGACAACTGGAAAAAAGTCTTAGATTTTGTCGACGCGTTTCGTCTTCCGACTTTTTCAAGGCAAAAATGAAATCGAAATATATATATATATATATATATATATATATATATATATATAGTATAAAATGACAATTGGAAAAAATCTTAGATTTTGTCGACGCGTGTCGAGTTAACATATTCATTTGTATTCATTTGTATGGATATGAGCTTTTTGACCTGGATTTCACGCTTTTGCGATCATCAAACTGATTTATTTTTTACAATTTGATCTATTTCAGCTTGTTTGTGTTTGATTATATTTGTTGTTGGGAGGGGGAAATCCTCCTCTGTGTCCGTTTTGGGATATATTACATAAAATAAATGGACAAAAAAAAAAAACCCAGAATGCACCTCCATTTCCAATCTATAAAGGAGTAAAGCATTTCTTCAGTTAGTTATTCTAAACATCGCTTGAGGATGAAACTGTACTCTAAAATTAAAGTTTAATTTTGAAATTATAATTTAGGCCTGACGATTGCATATTATAAATTCCAATAACCAAAAATATTATTCTTAAAAGAGGGCTCAATACAGAGTAGAGCAAATATAATTTATTCGAAAATTATAACATAAATATGTTATAAAATCACTTCAAATAGCCATTTTGTTTCAACACTTCTGATGTCTTATCAAGTGATGGTGTTGAATGTAGTGTGTGTAATTTGTAGATTGTATGTGTGTGCGTGTGTCAGGAATTTCTTCTCGCCGCTGAAAAGCGGAGAAAAATGGCGTGGTTTGGACACGTTTACAAGGCATGACAGCCTATGCAAGGCCATTATGCAATGCATCGTTGATGGTGGACGTAGGAGAGGACGCCAACGCAAAAAAACTGGTTGGAGAATGTCAAACAAAGGACAGATATGACTACACCAGAATTTGTGATGGGTGTCGCTGATCGACCATTGTGAAGAATATTCAGAGTGGCTTCTGCAGACGGACTCCATTCCTTACGATCACAAAAGCCAATGGAATGATGATGATGATGATGATGATATGCACTGCTGTGTACAGAATTATTCACCCCCCATATTTTGCATCTTTTCTAAGGAAATGTAAACTAGAAGCTATTGCCAAGGAAGAATGGGAGGAAAATACCTATCAGTGTGTAATGATCTTGTAAGGAATTATCAAAAATGATTAAAGACGATAATGAAGAATAAAGGATACACAATTGATTATTGACCCAAAAAAGGCCAATAATTTTGTCCTATGTTAAATGTTTTGGTGCTTTTTTTTATTATTGTTTGACATTAAAATAAACATTTTCTCGTGGGCATCACTACACATTCCTTAAAATCTATTAGATGACGGCAAATTTAAGGCATTGCCGTACGTCACACAAAGTCCTGATTTAAACCCCTTTGAAAATTATGAGCATATTTGAAGAAAAAGTAAGAGAAAGAAGTCCTCAAATTTAGAAGCTACTGTCAAGGAAGAATGGAGCATAATACCTATTAGTGTGTGTAGTGATCCTGTAAGGATCTATCAAAAAGGATTAAAGGCTATAATCTTACTTATTATAAAACGCAGATTGTTTGTGTGTGTGTGTGTGTGTGTGTGTGTGTGTGTGTGTTTATATTTGGATCAGATTTCAACAAAATTTTCAGGACTACGTAAAATTACCTAAATTCTGACAGGATTAAAAAAAATTTTTTGTGCGAAATGGTTCGATTAAGAGGCAGCGCAAGAAAAATTGAGAAAAAATCGAGTCAATTGTATAAAACCCAGGTTGTTTGTGAGTGTGTGTCTGTGTTCGTTTATATATGGGATCGGATTTTACATTTTTCAACTGATTTCAACAAATCTTTTTTGGGGCAGGTAGTGTTTCTTATTGTCTTGCACACTTTTTTTTTTTTTATTTTTTACATTCAGCGTGCTTTTAAAATTCCATTTACAAGACAATTGTTTATAATAAAATTCTATTCAATCGGTAGACTCATAATGATTGAAAACAATGTTTTTTGTTTGAGTTTGGGTTTAACCAATTCGTAAAAAAAAAAAAAACAAAAAAAAACTATTCGTGTCCGTCAAGCTTAAACAATAATTTTTGTCAATTTTATATTTCAGTCTTTATGATGGTCGATACTTGATCTATCTTTTACTGTTACATCCCCGGGCAACGCCGGGCTCTACTGCTAGTCAAGAATATAGTGTACACAGTTGATTATTATTTAGGCAAGAGGGCCAATAATTTTGTCCTGTGTTAAATATTTTTCAGTGTTTTTTTATTTTTTTTTGTATTATTGTTTGACATTAAAATAAAAGTCTTGTTGTGAGTATCTCAGCACATTTTTTCAAATCAATTATTTGAGAAAAAAATGCACATGAAGTTTCTATAAAAATTATATTACAGCTTTATTTGTATTTATATTTGATGATATGTACACAGTTGTGTACAGAACTATTCACCCCAATATTTTATATTTTTTTCTAAGGAAATGCAAGCTAGAAGAAAGAATGGAAGGAAAATACGTATCAGTTTGTAATGATCTTGTAAGGAACTATCAAAAATGATTAAAGACGATAATCAAGAATAAAGGATACACAATTGATTATTGACCCAAAAATGCCAATAATTTTGTCCTATGTTCAATATTGTTTTTTTGTATTATTGCTTGCCATTAAGATAAATATTTCCTTGTGGGCATCACTGAACATTGTTTCAAATCCATTATTTCATTGTGAAAAAATGCACATGGAATTTTCCAGAAAATTTGAGGTATTAAAACTTTATTTATAATTATACAACGGGGATGAATAAATCTGTCCATGACTATATATATATATATATATATAGGAAGAAAGATAGATTTAAGGTGGGCGATGTTTATGGGATAAAGTGCTCAATATCCGAGCGTATGTAAATATAAATATAAAAGAGAACATTGAAGTCAACACTCCAGGCGACAGGCTGTTTAATGCTAGACGCAATCGTCAGGCCACCTGACGATTGCGTCTAGCATGAAACAGATATATATATCTGATTGTTGATATATATATATATATATATATATATATATATATATATATATATATATATATATATAAGTGAATATATATATATATATATATATATATATATATATATATATATATATATATATATATATATATTATATATATATATATATATATATATATATATACGAAAATATTTTTGTTAGCATAGATGTTATTTTAGTGGGTAAATGTCTTTGAGTAACCATACCCCTTCTATACAAACTGTGACTTAAACGTCTACCGGCCTGTCTTACTGAAAATGTCCACTGGGGCATGCGTTGATGTAAGGATCCTGCTGAGTGGTATTTTTTTTTTTAATAAGTCCTACCATGATCTCCACCGGTAGACATTAATTTCACAGGTTTAACAATATCGACTGAAGCACGCGGGTCCACTAAAATAACGTTTATAGTACGACATATATGTGTGTATATTTACGTGTATATACACTAATTTGATCACCATCGTCATCATCATCATCATCATTATTAGCCCTGTGATTAGGTGTTGAGTCGCTGAACCTGACCAATTGCCTCTACATATCTGGGTTGAGTGCCGGATAGCTATTCGTTCATGCCGAGTGTGTCATGGGTAATTAAACTTTGCCCAGGTCAAAGCGTAGCCGATGACCTCCAATTTCATTCCCTCGGGCGAACCCTCTGTCCTAGCCGTTGCTTTCAGTCTCGGAAGCTCTCTCCGCCCAACGATGCCGTCTCATCACTGTTCCGACGGCGTAGATAACTCTGGAGCCCAGTTTTGCCCCCATTGTGCTTAGATGCCCTCCAATCCTAGAAGAACGGTCAGACACCATTTGATGGTTCTTCTTTATTCTTGCTGAATGTCTAACCACTCTGCCAAACAGATAATCATGGTTAGTCGGGGATAGATTAGTCGTCGATGTCCGGATCATGGGGCAGGTCATACTAGTTTATGTGGTATCAGTAGCACTCGTCAAGTTATCTGACATAAAATGTACCCAAAGCTATGCTTTAGTGAT